AGCGACCACCAGAACCCACAGATGCCACAGATTCCGAAGGTTCTTGCAGAACCTCTTCAAGCTCAAGCAAAAGACCCCACAGAACAACAGCACCCCCAACCATCTTCGTACAGATACCAGACCAGCTCCACAAAGCAGAAGGCAGTGGCAAGCCCGACACGACACCCGCCACCGACAACACACGAGAGCCCATTGGTTCAAAACCCACATTGTACAACCCAGCAAGAAGGGCAGATACAAACACGACATTCAAACCCCTCCACGGCACCACCTCCGCGGCGCTTTCTGGAACACCACAGGCCTGCTGGAAGCAGCCAAGCTACACACCTTGATACACATTATGCGTAAGCATCGCCTTAGCTGGCTGGCGCTCACAGAGACGCACATGAAGCAGCCTGATCAATTCATGATCGAAGGCTACACCATTACCCACAGCGCCACAGAAGAGTACGACAGCAAAGGCAAGCCCACACAGACCTTCACAGGAGTCTCCCTCATCACAGCCCCACACCTCACACCCACCATCACAGATCTCACCTGCGTCGACGGCAGATTTCTTCGGTTCACCATCGACACCATCGAAGCTCCGCTCAGCATACTGGCGGTTTACGCCCCACACAGCCAACGCGAACAGCAATGCCGGGACCAGTTCTGGCAAGCGCTCACCACACAGCTCTCCACTCACAGAGAACGCACCCCCCTTCTAGTGGTTGGAGACTTCAACGCACTAGCCTTAGACGAGCTCGCAGCCATCCCTCACGCCACTGGCCCACATTTCGTCCCAGGCAAAACTGCCGAGGAAGACGAGCCAGACGATGATGCAGAAGGCGACACCAACCAGCGACAGTTCCACGACCTCCTGGCCTCACAGGACTACTGCCTCCCACAGAGCTGGATGGAGAAAGCACCTCGCAATAGACACACCCACAAAAGACCCAACGGCGACCTCGTGCAACTCGACCACGCCATTATACACAAAGACTGGCGCAACATCATCCACGACATCCACACTCTTCCCGGCGCAGCACTCAACAGCAACCACTACTTGGTCAAAGTCGAGCTGCAGCTCCGCACCAAAGAGGCCAAACGCACAGCCCCCAAACCACGCCACACCAGAACCCCCACTACCGCACAGCGGCAAGCCTACAACAACCACATCAAGCAAAACTTGGATGCCATCACCCCTACCACAGACTACTCACAACCACCCCCACAGCTCCCACTCCAATCACAACCACATGAGCAATGGCAGAGCCTCCAGGCGGCGACCAAGGAAGCCATTAGCGACCACATCCCAACCACCGCGTCCTTCCCCAAACACCCCTGGATCTCACAAGCTACTTGGCAGCTCATACAGCAACGTTCCGCCGCACGCCTCGCTCAGAGATTTGATCTTGAGGCCCAACTCCACAAAGACATTAGAAAGCAAGCCCGCAAAGATAAAACCCAGTGGCTAAAGGAGCGACTGGCCGAAAGCGAGGCCACTCTTGACCCTCGCCAAAAATGGAAGTGGATCAAGAGAGTTCGCTCAGACTACAAGCCCAGACCGGTCTCCATTAGAGACTCACAGGGCAAGCCCACCAGCCTCTCACAGCAAGCCCAAACCTTCGCAGAATACCTGCGAACACTGGGCAGCTCCACCTACACCTTACACTGGCCCCACAGACCCAATACACCCGGCAGCAGCAGTGGACCTCTCACCCATCACCACAGCAGAGCTCAACGCAGCACTTAAAGAGCTGGCGCACAACAAAGCAGCAGGCCCCGACAGCATTCCTGCTGAAGCATGGCAGTGGTTAGACGACCATAACCAAGAGGCTCTCTTGCGGGTCCTCAACCAAGCCCTGCTCACAGCCACCATCCCGGATGACTGGCACCATGCTATTGTAGTCGAAATCTACAAAGGCAAAGGTCCCCTCACAGACCCTGCCAGCTACCGCCCCATCTCACTTTTGAACACATCCTACAAACTTTTCGCCAAGATCATTCACACCAGACTCCAAGCAGCCCTGGACGACAGACTCAGGGAAACCCAATACGGGTTTAGGGCGACGCGCTCAACATCCCAGCCTATTCACATCGTCCGCCGTCTCATTGAACGTGCGGAGGCCACAGGACAAACACTTTACACCATCTTTCTCGACTGGGAGAAAGCATTCGACAAGATACACCCGGACGCCCTCCACACAGCGTTGTCACGCTACGGCGTCCCACCACATCTCACAGCCCTCATCAACAACATCTACACCTCACCACAATTCACAGTGGCGGCGGCTGGGAAGCAAAGCACCAGGGAGGAAGCCAGCGCGGGCATTCGTCAAGGATGCCCGCTCTCACCATACCTGTTTCTCATAGTTCACGGTATGGTTATGCACGATGTGGACCGGGAACTTACAGCTCACGGCGGGTCTCTTCCTTGGCTGTACAGCCAAAACCAGCCCTTCTACGACCTCGCTTATGCGGACGACACAGCACTCATCGCAAGCACAGCTCACAGAGCAGAACAGCTGCTCCACATCCTGCAGCGGATTGCGGCTCACAGCAACCTCCACCTGAACCTCAAGAAGTGCGTGTTACTACGCTCCCCCACTTCACAGAACACAGTCCACTTTCACAACGGCGCCCCCCTCACTATTGAGCAGCACGCCAATACCTTGGCGTCACAATTAGCAGCGACGGGTCTTCTCACAAAGACGTTCTCACACGTGTCGCCAAAGCCCGCAAGCACTTTAACTCTCTGCACCAGTTCTGGCGCAACACCGACCTCACACTGAAGTGGAAGTTACGCATTTACAATGCGGTCTTCATTCCGCTCGTAACATACGGGTTGGAATCAGCAGCGCTCACAAAAGGCGATCTCAACAGACTCGAAGCTTTCCACTCACAGAGTCTTCGAAAGATCCTCCACTTCAAAAGCACTTACTACACGGAGGTGCTCAACCCCACAGCCCGCACATACACCAACCAAGAGGTGAGAACACTCACCTCACAGCCTCCACTCACTCACCACATCCACAAAGCACAGCTGAAACTTTTCGGGCACATTCTTCGATCCCATCCGAACAGTATAGAACGGAACTGCTGCTTCACTAGCGCTTTTCAGTACAGAGGTGGTATGGTTGGTGCTGGCCTAAGGCCAGGCAGGAGGAGAGTTCAATGGACAGAACAGTGCACTACAATTCTTTGGCACTGGCTTTTAAAGTCCTCCAGACCCCCTGCCACTCGCAGCCCTACCTTCCCATACTCTTATCTACAAGCTCACAGAGCTGCTGTAGACCGCCACTTTTGGAGTACCCTAGTGAGGTTGCCAACGTGCAAGACACTCCTAGAAGCACACTCCTACACAGTCTTCTCACAGCCTTGAGTTTTCTGCGGAGTTGCTGCTGAGCGAGTTGCATAGGGCCGCCCAAAAAGGGGCGGCTTGGGGAGCTTAGGACCCTCAGGGGTTGAGGGGTTTAGGGGTTTAGGGGCTTCAGGCGTGGGGCCATCGGGGGGTCTCAAGGCTTGGGGCTTGAGGTTTGGGCTTTCAGGCTACGGGGTTCACGGCGTAGGGTTTAGTAGTTTGGCATTGGGGTAAAAGGGGTTTAGGAACCCACTTGCGGATCTCCAGAAAGCTTTGGGACCCTCTAATCCCTAAACCCTTTAGAGCTGCAATGTCTGCCGTGCTGAGATGAGAACTGAGATGAGAACTTCATGGATACAGCGCCTCGGGAGCCCCACTTGAGGTTTAGGGGTTTTGGGTCGAGGGTGGTGGGTTGCAAGAATCTCGGTTCCTTAATTTTGCGCGGGCGAGGGGGCACGTCTGTTGACAGGGTATCCCGCGACGGAGAGGGCTCTTCCATGTTCGCCCTCGTGAAGCATCAGGACCTAAACCTCAAACAGTGAGATGTGAGTGTGTGAAGGTGGACGGGCGCCTCGTGCATGTGGATTTCGGCCATGCTGTTAGCAGAGAGCCGCTGGATTCGGTGCCTTGGGCTTCTGATGTTTTATGTGGCTCATGGATGAATCTTATTGGTTCAGGCTCACGGCTTTCAAGGGTTTCAAGTTTATTGATCAACGCCTTTCTTTTGGGGTTTGGGGATTTACTACTTTTGTCAATTTTTACATTTATGAATATATATATATATATATATATCTCATATATACATATATATATATGTATGTATGTATGTCTGTATGTATGTGTGTGTGTCTGTATGATTGTATGTATGATTGTATGTATGTATGTATGTATGTATGTATGTATGTATGTATGTATGTATGTATGTATGTATGTATGTATGTATGTATGTATGTATGTGTGTGTGTGTGTGTGTGTATGTATGTATGTATGTATGTATGTATGTATGTATGTATGTATGTATGTATGTATGTATGTATGTATGTATGTATGTATGTATGTATGTATGTATGTATGTACGTCTTATTTGTGTTTTTGTTTTTCTATAGGGTTTACGGAACCCCTTAACCCGTGACGAGGTGCAGGGCGGCCGGCCGGCAACCACCATCCAGTGCGAGGAGCTAAATGAGGCGCCATGCCAAAGGCTTTGGGGCCCTTTGGGGTGTAGGGTGTCTATGACTGTATGGCTTCAAAGGTTGAGGGCGTGTCTGAAAGCCTTCAATTGGGTTTGGGTTTTATAGTGTTTTTTGGCCACGTGTGGCTTTTGAGTCGTCCCAAAATGCTAGGGCCGTACTTCAGCTACGTATTCTCGAGCAAATTCGCATAGAGCAGCCAAGCCTCCAGAGTCTCCAGCAGGCTTCAAAACTCTCAGACTCAATGTTTCTAAATGATCCGGTGTATACGCTATACCTCATACCCCAATCTGTCCTAAACCCGAGGCTCTAACATGCAAGCTCTCGGAATCTCAAATCCCAAATCCCAAAGCCCCTGAGCCCTTCGATCCCCGCCGCAAGTAACGCAGCTGAGGGGTTATGGATGTCTAAGACTTAGGGTTTAGGGCGTTATGGTGATTAGTGGCTTTCCACCATCGCCGAAACCTCCTGTGCGCTGCCCTGCGCGCCGTTGTCGTGTCCTCAAGGGGCGAAGGTAACCTTCAGGAAGCTTCGGGAGTCCTGGACGACAGGCAGACATCGAGGCGCAACTCCGTGAGCAGCTGCAACAGATGAGGCGCCAGCTTTGAGACGGCTTAAGTTCCTTGGGATCACGGTTCGAAGTGGTGGAGGTTACGCCCGAAATGCCAGACAAGGGCTGGAGGGTTGAGGGCTCTAAACCCTAAACCCTGAAGGCAATCCGGTTGGAAGTTACTTGTGTTGGGGCATAGGTCTTAGTCACAAGGATCCAGGAGGGTGTGAGAGCCCGTATGCTGCCTAGGGTTGGACGGTTGAGGGTTTGGGGTTTTAGGGTTCAGGGATTATAGGATTATAGGGCTTGAACCCTAAGCGAGTCACAAACTTGCTTGGTTAGCCAATAGTTGGCTTGAGGGCTTGGTGCTCAGCTAGCAGCTAGCAGGCAGAGTGCAGAGTAACCGATTCAGCAACCTATTTTCTTTCCTGGCGGCTGGAGCCCTAAACCCGAAACCGCAAGCAACAAACTCGAAGCTCTCTGAAACCTCAAAAACCTTCAAAGACCCTTCAAACCCTAACCCTAAACCCCAAAGTTCGAACTCTTTTGCAGAATCATGGGTTCTAGAGCCCAAGCCACCAGGGAGCAGAATGCCACCGTTGAGATGGAGAAGGCTGAAGTCGAGGCAGGAGCGTAGGGTTTCTTTAGAGTTTTTATAGTGTTGTGTTTTATAGGCTTTACGCCCCAAACCCTAGAGCCTGAACCCTAAACCCGAAGCTCTGTGTGTGTGTGTGTGTGTGTGTCTTTGTTTTCGTCCTCTTTGGAGGCGCGTGTGCTGCTGTTGGAGGAGCAGGCATGCGGCTTGTGGTGAGTTCGGGCTTTGGAGGAGGGTTCAAGGGTTGAGGGTTTGTGGCTCAAGGCTTGGGGGAGAGTTAGGATTTCAACAGGATTGAGGTTGCAGAGTTTAGGCTCTAGGGTCGTAGATCCTGGGAAGTTCTTCGGCTTTCTGGGTTTCAGGCCCGAAAAGCCGGGCAGGGTTTAAGGGTGTAGGGTTTAAGACTGTTCAAGGATGTTTATAAGTTTGGGTTTTAGGGTTTAAGGCACTAGACCCTCAACCCTGAAGCCTCAACAGGTGAGGAAGCTGTCTTCTCTGCTGTCGGACACGGCGCGTCAGCTAAAAGAGGCCAAAGACTTGCCCAAGGACGCCGGAAATTGAGTCATTGAGGGTGTTTGGGTGCGGAGAAGTCGAGAACCTGAAGTTAGAAGAGTTTGGGGATAGGGTTTAGGGCTGCTTCTGTTAAATCTCAGGTACTCTACAGATACATGAGGTGTGGGGTTCACAACTTATCTGGGTTGCTGCTACAGGAACGGGGACTTTTGTATGCTGGTCCCAGCGATGATCGGTGCAATAGGCCCTAAACCTCAGCGTATATTAAGGAGCGTGAGGAAACCCCAATATTGATATTAGATATTAGTCTTTCTGGGTCATGAAGTTGTCTACAGAATTATTGATTTGCAAAATCCCAGAATTCAAGAAGGACAATGCAATAATAAGTAATCTGTGAAGAAATACCAAAATACTCTCATTATCGCATTCCAGCACGCGAATCATTAGATGACAGGCGAACGGAGCGCAGGAAAAGACAAGATTTCGCGAGCCAGTAAGAAAATGAATGAAAGTCTGAGCGGAAAATGAGGCATGTCTTCGTGTGTTATTTTTATTCTATTCATAGTGGTGCTCGCAAGTGATGCAATAGAGAATGAATGGGTGAACAAGACCAACTAGAAAGGCAAAGAACATATTTCCAAAGGGAAATATAATTCAGGCTTCATTTCCAGTATAATTTCCTTCACTTAAAAGCCTTACTTATAAAGATGAAAGGAATGAACGAACTCATTGTAATTCCTACTTTCAGTTAATTCGTTTACAAATGAACCTGACGTGCACACTTTGTTCTCTCGTTCAAAAACTCTAATCTCTAAACCCTTAGCCGCTCAGGGTGCGGGGGGTTCCGAGGTAGCGGCCGAGATTTTGATGCTTTGGGTGTAGGGACCTAAACCCAAAACCCAGAAACTCGACATCCCGAGACGACAGGGTTTTGGGTTTCGTGTTCAGGGTGTTTGGTTTAGGGGTTGGGGTTTGCAACGGGGTCATTGGGTTTAGAGACCAGAACCCTTAGGCCTAAACCCTTAACCCCAACAGTAGCCGAATAGCCCTTAGATCACATTGCGGATCCCTGAATAACTGAATGCTGTTTGAGTCCTGTACCCCTGCCTAGCGCAGCGGGAAGGAGGCGGAGCCAAAGTACAAGCCCGGAGCTTGGCAAAGCGGTCTGCATGTTTGTTTGCGTGTATCAAGGTTGATAAGGTTGAGGGTTTAGGGTTTTCGGGTTTAGGGTAAGGGTGCCCTCGTGGGAGTTAATTTTTGTTGGGGTCCTCTTGGGGATCATCTCGAACCTGGAGCTCCGAATTCCAAATCAAGACTTTAGGGTTTTTGGTTTAGGGTTTTGCCTCGTGTTCTTCTGGTTAGCATTATTGGTACTGCCATGATGACGATGACCATGAGGATCATGATGATGTTTGTGATGATTGTGATGACTGGTGGTGATACAGATGTTGATGATGCTGATGATGATGGTGATTGTGAAGGTTGTGTTGATGATGGTGATGATGATGACGACATGATTGAGATGATGGCGGTGGTGATGATGATGACGTGATGTGATGTTTGGCCTTTCATTATGGTCTTGAGGATCATAATCGTCGTCAGTATTGTGGGCATTACTGTGTATTGGCCAGTATTGTATTAGTATTCCTCATTGTACTAGTGTTACGTAGTCTTATATGAGTATGAGTGTTCGTGTTTGTGTTCGTGCTATTTCTATTCTTAGTGCTCGGGTTAGTGGCAGTGAGTACTTTAAGTGTTGGCTTTTAGCATTAGTGATTACTGTTAGTGTTTGTCTTACTCTTCGGAAGTGTATCAGCACGAGCCACCATCTCAGCATTCGTGTCAGTCTTAATTTCAGAAGCACAAGCTTGCAAACACAACAGCAACGCTGGCAATGATAGTCAGAATTCTCATACTAATAGTAGGAGTAACAATGAAATTTCCTTAAAAGCAACAACAGCAGCAGCAACAAGAAGAACAAGAACAAGTACGATCGTCGTCATCATCATCACCATCATCATCATCATCATCATCATTATCAATTTCATACAAATGATGAGAATGAGGATGACCTCAATCAGGCTGGACGCCGGCCCACCTGGAACGCTCACCGATGAGGTCATCTGCCTTCAGGCTGACCCGGTTTGGGCGACGCGGGGTTGGGCGGAGACCCCAAACTCGGGCCAGGGCGAGGAGTACAGGAAACTCGGGCACAGAGATACCCACGTGACTGCTGCAAAGACTGAGGGTTTCGGGTCGGGCGCCTAAATTCATGGGGCCTTCAGATCGACTGGGTTTATCCGATTGAGCACTGGGATATTAGTTGTTGGCGTGGTCGCAAGCACAGGGATCCTGAGGCTGGCTTCGATTTGTCAGGGGTTCCTTTTGGGTTAGGACGTTACGTGACAGCCCTCGCCTCTTCATGTTCAAGGTTCAGCCCGAAGCCCTCTTGGAAGCCCAGCGACGACCCTTCCTGTAAGCGGCCCATCAAGAAAGCCCTGCGACATCCGCAAACCCCTCTGTTCCCTTTACAGGCTTAGTTAGCCCTTTCTTCGTGCCAAGCTTTCTCCACAACACCTTGATGCGTCCCGAAGGCGCCACAGCTGGTGCCGCGGCTGTGGCAAGCCTGGGCCCTGGTGTTTCTGGTACTTCTCCGACTCATCTCGGCCTGTTCGGGTTTAGAGGTGGTGGCCCACATGTCTTGTCGTGGAGCTTGACGACATCTCAAAGTTTCGGGAAGCCTAAATGTAGCATGGGTGCAGACGTATGCTGTGAGCCCACGTCATGCATCAACTTGGTGTCTACCTCCAGGAATGATGGCTGTGCTGATGTGTGTAGGATTCCTGGGCTGTAGACTCTTGAGGCTGCCCGCCAGAACCACCAGGATGAGGCCGAGAGCTTGGCCTAAGAAGTTGTAAGTACGGCATTTTGCAGTTATAGAGCTGTGTCTCTTTCCGTGTGTGTGTGTGTGTGTGCGTGCCAACCGCGCTGCTGCGGTCATGCCAGGGTGTGTTTGTGACAGCTTGAGCGGAAAGATGGAGGTTACCCTAATTAGAGGCTTCGGGGCAGCGTTGCTGCTTGCAGCATGTTGCAGCATGGAGTATGTTGGGGCTCGGCTCTCCAGGCTTTAGGTGGAAGGTTTTGAGGTCATTATGGGCCCCAGGATGCTGCAATCGAGCTCGACGCCGCGCCATCGGGAACGGTGGCGGCTGAGCCTGCCCAGGCTTGGGCGGCTTGGGCAACAGCTTTCTAACCCATGTTCGTCTCGAGGTCCCGCGGGTGCGGGCTCAATTTGACGGGTCTGTTTCCCCCTTGCAAAATCTTAAGGGCTTTAAGGATTTCCGAGATTTTGCAGGTGCCTTTGATTTCTTCAAAATCCTGAGACCAATTTAAGTTCGGGAGAGTTTCGCTATGCCATGAACCTCCCGTATTTCTTATTGCTTCAGCGCTTTCGGCTGTGCTATTTTCGGCATTGGAGGTGTAGGATGTTTCATTCGGAGCCCCTCTTCGAAGTTTTCAGAGTGTTGTTTTCTCAAGCAGGTGCAGCAAGACCAGGTGATGAAAGAGCTGCAGTGTGCGCTCGAGGCAGGATAGGTGGTGGCAATGCGTAGTGTGCATAGTGTGTGTGTGTGTGCACGCGGCACTGTTCGCCACATGACGTTTAATGTCTCTCTGTCTCTCTCTCTCTCTCTCTCTCTCTCTCTGTCTCTCTTTTTTGTACACAATGCAGGGGGTGCTAACTGACCGTTACCGGCTCCAACGAAGTGTGCTGTCAGGAGGGAAGTGTTTCGGGACACTGGGGTGTGTTAACGGCAGCTTGGGGGCACACTGGCTATTCTTTGTGTCCAGACAATTTTCAACCGAGGACAGGGCCCAATCCTCATGATATCACGCAGGGGTTCAGATTGCAGATGCCAGATACCGGACCTCAAGCAGATGCAGCCAGATGCAGATAGCAACATCGGCGAAGTTGGCCCTCGTGGCGTCTCAGTATGTTGCGTGGGTTGCGTCAGGCGCATTCCCTCAATTTTTTGTGTCTTGAGCCCTTTATGGGGTTTCCCCTGAAGAGGACAAAGTGCCCATGCCGCTATGTTCACGTTTGTTTTGTGGCATGCGGGCGGTTTCATGGCGGGGATTCATTCTCTCCTTTCGTGTCCGTGGTGGTTCGTTTCGGTTCTCGAGTTTCGTTTTCAGCAGCTGTCTCTGTTGGTGTCTTGTGTTTGTGCGGGTGTGGGCGTGGGTGGGTCTGCGTCCGTCTGGGCGTGCGTGTGCATGTGCGTGTGTGCGTCCTTGTTGTCTTCGACCCAGTGCCCGACGCTGCGTTTTCAACCTTCTGCTCAGCCTGGTGTACTTTTCTCTTTATCTTCTCTGGCACGCAACAACCCATCCGCACTTGTCAGCCACTTTTCTCCACCTAGAGAGACTTTAAATGCATTAAGTTGTGCACGTCACATATGCTGTCATAAGAAAAGTTCGTGTACATGAATGTGTACATGAGTATACGGATAAGGGCCTTGAGTGTTGCAACAGTAACGCCACCCAAAGATCCCACAGAGCACGCGAGGCAAAGGAGAACTCCATCCAGCAGCTTCAGGCGTTTGGAGGGTCCTTTGTGCAGGTTTCGGGTTTGGAGTTTGGGATACACAAGCCCTCGTGCCGCTTCACCCAGTGTCCAAGTGGAGATCTGAGGGGTGCTCCGAAAACTTAGTCGAGATCCCTGAAACCACCCAAGACCTGACAAGTCCCTGAGCCCTGAACCCCAAACCCTGAGGCCTCCGCTGCAAGCGGAACCGCTAAGACCAAGACCTGCATAGTTCTTTTTTCCCGAAACCTAAGCGCCAGAAATGATTTGGGTTCGCCTTGTCACCCCGAGAAGCGTGCGATAAGCATGTGCATTGGCACTTCCCAAGGCTTGCCGTGGCCTTTACCGCTTGCGGCTTTGGGTTTGTAGGGGGACTATAGGGCTGCTAGGGCCTTGTCTGGGGACCTCAAACTGAATTCCCTGGGAGAACAACAGTTCTGGGAGAACGAAAGCCATTCTTTTCAATCTGTTGTAGACCACTGCTTTCGATGTCGAATTTTTTGTGCGGACCCGAACCCGGACAACTCAGTAGATGTGCCATGCAGAGGCCCCGTGTAGTGCTGCATGCTTCCATCAGGCGGAGGTGGCGACGCTCAGTGGAAGAGTACGAACACTCCAAAAGGCGCTGCGTGCGTGGTGAGCTACTAGGTTTACTACTGGTGCCGCAATGTGCGGCAGCTTCCAGTCGCTCTACGCAGGCATGCAAGATGCGCCTGGACGAGATGTTTGAAGTCATCATGGAGGCCGGTCAACTCCGCTCGGGGCAGGGCTTAAATTTAGGAGTGTCCTGGCGGGTGTTTTCGAGGCGTTCAGGAAGTGGCCAACTTGGTAGCTTTCGCAGGATGGGAAACCTAAGTTTGTCTTGAGTTTTTGTTATGTTTTCGTGGGGTTTTCTTGGGGTTTTCTTGGGTTTAGGTTGGTTTTGGCTGGGCATATCGTGGCTCAGCCCCCAATACGCAGCGTTACTCCCTGAGAGTTGAGCCCAACCCTCAACCCTGCACCCAAAACGGGCTGTCATCACGGTGGGGAATCGAGTCGAAAACCCTGTATACAATGACAAAGTCGGGCACTGCACAGACGTTGTTTCGAACACAGATTCCCGAAAGTCTGCCAACGGCATGAGCACACCCCAACCACCCTATCGGTTCTGAACCTTCTCCGTTGTAGGAGATCTTCTGCTCTTCCGGTGAGAAGGTAGTGCGACGTTTTGCTCGACGGTCTTGGCTATTGACAGGACCCGGCCATACCGACCAAGTCGCCCGTCCTGCCCTTATGATTGCTTGAGTGGACTGCCCTGGCTCCAGTCGCCTGAAGATGTCGCTTGTGGGCCACAGCCAGAAGCAGAAATCATGTGTCTCTGCCTTCGCTTCCTAAGGATGTGGATGCCGGGCACGCATCCCCATCATTGCCCAGAGGGCTGTTGGCCTGGCAGCAGCGGCAAAGAGCCACTCGAGTTGCCCGACGCAAGAAGCGGGTGTTCGCTTTATTTTAGAGCATGGATCATGAAGGCCAGCTGTATCCACACTTGTTGTGTATTGGTGTCTCCGGCTTGGGGCCTTCTAAGGAGATAACATTGGTAAATTCTTGGCAACTTTGGTATATTTTTCGGCTCTTTGCATCTACCCTAGACGCCCTAAAAACCCTGAAAGCGAACCTAAACACATCTAAACACCCAAAAGCACTCCAAAAGCCTCAATGCCCGAAAAACAGAACAAAAGCACCATCACGATTACCTACTTCGAGTTTTTTAATTTTAAATTCTTAGTAAATTGTCTGCGGGATTTTTTTGGTTGGGGGTGTGGGGGTGGGCATCAGCGGATCGGCCCAGGAGACCGGACGAGGAGTAATTACACGAGGGCCGGGCGAGGAGAAGAGCTGACTTAATATCTGGCAACCCCACACCGAGGATGGGGAAAGGACCCTGAAACGCCCCAAAGAACCCTAAAACTTTTTGTTGCTTGAGGCTGCTTTGTCGGCTTCGGCGTCCGTGGGCTTCTCGCTTGACTGAGACTCCGGCGTGCCGGGACTGCTGCAGGTGTTGAGGAGAGGAAAGACCCAAAGCCCACTCTGAGCCTTCAGCTCCACGCCACCCCTGCCATGGCCAAACTATTGGCGCCTGAAAATGGGTAAGTTTTTTTGTATTTTCATGAACCAGCGTCATTAGCAATTTGCCATCGCCGTCATTCACACACGAGTATGGCCAATAGTGTCGACTCCAATATTGGAGGGGCTTTTCGCACGTTGTTCATTCCGATGGAGCTGCAAAAGACTTGATTTGGTGGTGCCCGTCGATCAGCATTGGTGATGCGAAACCCTTCAACAACAAGAGGTTCTCACTCGGAATCAGACAAGTTTTTGGCGGTAGACACTGGGTCATCGGTGCTTACAAGGACCCTTAGTTTGGAAGCCTCTGTGTACCGTTGATACGCCCCGAAAATACCCTATGCGACCCAAGGCCCCATAGATCAGAACCCTTCAAGGAAAGCAAAGGACCGTATGAAGGGACGATGGAACCACCGGAACCACCCTTAGATTGGTAATTTTCTGGGACCTAATGCACATGCACTTGCCATGAGCGACGTCGGCGCTGATGTTAAGAAGCGGTCCCAATCACGAGATGCCGTCCAGGACCGTTCCTGTTTTCAATGGATAATGTGCACAACTTAGATGAGCTAGCAGCATGTTTTGGTCTTGTGCGGTGAATGTCAGGACGGCCTCAGCTGGAAAGATATCGCATGGTTAATGTTGCTGATTCGCACATTCGTTCGTGCATTCTGTGGACGTGCACGGGCAATACTCTCACTTTTTAGGTGGCCGAATGTGCATGTTGCCAGGTTATCTGATATCGTGGGCATGCCTTGCTAGGTTTGCTTTTTCTAGTTCTTAACAGGGAAGTGGGGTGTTAGCTGGGGCCATTCGCCAAGCCCCAAGTCCTCCGAGCCCTTAACACAAGATCTTTTCATTGCCCGCTGCCATATCACAGCTCTGAAGCTCAGACTTGAGCCTTGACACGTCTACATGCACGGCACGTGCCAAAACGCACACACACACACACACTCCTACCCTCCACACGCATGAAGATGGGTTTATATTATGGTTTGCGTGCGTACACGGTCCCTGGTTCCTGGAAATATTGGTGAGTGTATATATGGGCTGTCCTGTTGGCCTAATTTAAGCCCCGAAACCGAACCCCTAAGCCTTAAACCGTAAATCTCCAAACCCGAAACCCTGACCCTAAACCCAAAACCTCAGCGCCATGTGGTGGAGCTGGGGTTTGGAAGGCCTGGGGGGGCTGACATGGGCTGACGCTTCAGGGTTCCGCATTCGCGGCTTGGGGTATTGGCTTGGCAGGTGAATCATCCATGCAAATGTCCTAATGATTGGCAGAGGCGGATCAGGTTATGCAAGGATTCGGATGATGGGAGGATTGCAGCGCTCGGACTACCAGCCCGTAAGAGACTGCCCCACTCAGGAAACTGCGAGATTCAGGAAAGTGGGCGATTCTTGTTTCCATTCGCTGTCCCTCGGGGGGGGTGATGACATTCTCCAAGCCCAATTCAAGCAGCTTCTTTCAGTTTACCGGAGCCACGTTTTCAAGTTTGCCGAATCGCATTCTCCCAAGTTTCGGAATCCGCGCATTCTCAGTTTCCGAATCCGCGGTTGACCATTGCGGGTTGCAGGGGTTATGTTCGGATGTGTGTTTGTATGCGTGCTAAAGTTTCCAGGAAAGATGGTCCGAAGAATCGCGACATTCGTCGATCACTCCTCCCCCAGTCCCCTCGCCCTTCACCCTTTTCAAACTTGAGTTTAAGGAACCTCTCCCTTCTCAAGCTCCTTTCGTGGACTCACAACCTGTTGCTTCCATCCGACCCGAAAGTGCAGCAAGATACATGCCGTTGTCACAAGAAAATTCTGAACGATCCGTAAAGATCCCAAAAGTGAGTTCCAGACGCGGTCCTGTGGAGTCATGCTTAGCGGTTTAGCGCAGAAGACCGTGCACCACGGAGTCATCTCCTCTTCCAGCCCGACCTTGCGACTGGTCCTCGATGCCAGATCGCTGTTGCAGTGTGGTTGCGCACATCATTAGACACTCAAGCAGTGTGAGTGCCCATGCCTACGATTGTTTGCATCTTCACACACCGACTCTGCAATTACAAGACTACAAACGCCAACACCATTCCACAATGGTGCGAGTCTTGCGGACGCTTGTGAGCGCTTCGTGGACGCTGGCGAACACTTCCTGAACACGCGCGCAGCGATGTTGGTCACATCCTGCACATTCGAAAACAGTCGGGAAGCTTCTTCCGAACCCGCGGCCTCACTTCTGAATGAAGTCGTAAGTATGCAGGAGCACGAAGACAGGACTGATAACCGATTCTGGTATTTTTTTTGCGATAGTTAGCCTCACCCTAAGGGAACCAACGTCTCCTTCTCCTTCTCTCTCTCTCTCTCTTTGTGAGACTCTCTCTCTCTCTCTCTCTCTTTCTCTCTCTCTGTGTCTCTGTCTCTGCCTCTGCCTCTGGCTCTGTCTCTGCCTCTGTCTCTTTCTCTGTCTCTGTCTGTGTCTGTGCCTCTGTCTCTGTCTCTGTCCCTCTGCCTCGTGTAAATATCGGTGATTTTTGGCCATGCTGCCCAGTGACCTGTGACCACTGTAATCCCTTCTCCTGAACAGACCCCGGCGGGGAGCTCCAGGCCGGCCAAGCCCGGGAAAGGGTTCGAGCTTCAGGTTTTGTAGGGGCTTCAGGGATCTTGTGGCTTTAGGGTTAAGGGGTTTAGGGGCGGCTTGGAGGCTCACGAGTGCTCAAGTTTTCGCGCCCCCCTTCCGCTTTGTAGCCCTCACAGACGCCATGGCAGACTCATCAAAGGTGCTGGAGACGATGGCCTCGCAGCTCTCCGCAGTGGCTGCTGGCCTAGAGGCATTACGAGTGCAAGGGGCGGCTCAGACGGCCGCAAACGCCGAGACGGCCGACAAGCTCGAGGAGATGCAGCGGCGCATCTCACAGCATGATGCCCTGCTCACAGGTGATGGCCCTTCTGTGCTCTCCACAGCAGCGCCAGTGGCTCGACCCCAGGATTGGGAGATCCGAATCCACGGAGATGCAGGCCCCACACAGTCGGTGACCAGAGAGGAGTGCGCGGCAATGATCACGGAGGCCCTGCAGACGAAGGTGGGCCCCGCTCTCCAGGCAGCATTCTCACAGGTCGGTGCCGAGCTTGTCCAACACGCCGAGAAGATTAACACCCTGGAACACGAGGTACGCATGCTAAAAATCAGAACAGCATGGACGGAGAAGGACCTGCTGTACTCACAGATAGAGGCTGCAAAGAGAACCCTTGTGCTGAGAAATTTCCCAGACTGGACCACAGCAGCAGACCGTGAGCTCACAGTGGCAGAAGCTCTGAAGGAGAACAACCTCGGTTACTTGGAGTGGGACCTCACAACCACGACCTTAGAGGGCACGGATGGCAAGAAGTTTTTGGCTCCGATTTCCATCCTCACAGTCCCGACCTATGCCGCTAGAAAGAAGGTCATGGAGGTTTGCTCCCGTGCTGTGGTTCGCTACTGGCACGAGGTGAAGGACGAGGCCGGGATCGAGCTAGACCAGAATGACGCTGAGAAGAAGCAGTCGGACGAGGCGAAGACCGACTCGACTGAGAAAGTCTGGGAGATCAAGACCTGGCACTGGAACCTTCCCATCAAGATGGCGCCAGGAATCACCCAATTCGAAAGGCGTCTCGGTGCTCCTTTGCACGGATTAATGAACTCCTATCAGCGCCTCTTCGCGCGCTTCAAGAAGGAGTCCTTGGTGCCAAGGTGGAAGACCTTGATTCTAGAGGACAAGGAGGGTGCTTGGCTAGGCCGTGTACTTTACAGTCGCAAGACCAGCAGCCTCACAGGAACCACGGGCACCGTGGCAGACTGGAAATGCGAGGTCCAGCTTCCGGCGGAGCACAAAGACAAAATCCTGGAGTGCTGGCGAGACATTTGGTACGATCAGCTAAAGCAGCAGATCTCACAGACGGATGTGGAACAAGAGGCATTTTCCTCTGCCTCACAGAAGACTAGCCAGGACTATGTGGCCGCAGCTCGCTTGAACCGCTTCCTCACCAAGGCCGTGCCAAGCTACAACGAGGGTGAGGAGCACGGGATCGAGAACTGGGTGGCCCGCTTCAAGTTCGAGTACCCCTGGGAGCTCTCCTTCGTAGGCATCTCACAGGAACACCCGGACCGGCAGTTCTTTCAGGATCTCCGCCCAGTGGACCAGCTGATGGAGGCAATGTCCGCCGACCAGGCCATGGAGACTGCAGTTGCCCCCGGCGAGACCCTCGCAACCTTTGCCTCGCAGGGCACCAAGAGGCAGCACTCTTCCGGCACGGAGGGCACCCTCGACAGCATGGAGGCCGACTCCACCAAGGAGCCCCACTACCCCTTCAACTCACAGGAGGAGCTTGAACAGGAGGTGGAGAACGAGAAGATCAGCCACATCAACCGCGGCTACGACATCTCCGGCTACTCCTCTTCGCAGTGGGAGGAGTGGGTCAAGGGCAAGAAGCTCAGGCAGATGGGTTCGGAGGCTGCCCAGGCAGTCCTCACAGGCCGCCCTCGTCCCAGGCTTTCGGCTTGAAGTTTCGGCAGGCGCGCAGGAGCCCCATCTTCCAGCACAGTGTGCTTTTTCAGTGCCTCTCTCACAGAGAGCAACGCTGCGACCGCACAGGTGGAAGAAAGGGGGCGAATTAGCTTGAAGCATGTAAGCACACCTCCCAAAGGTGAGCCGGGCGCGCTGAGCCATCCCCAAGCCCTTTTCCATGTTAATTCTCACAGTTCTGTTTTTAGTTCGGATTTTTCGGGATTGAGGAATGAGCATTTCGGCGACGAAGTGCAAGCCACCAACCACCCCACCCACGAACACACACTACCGCCACAGCTCCACCACAAGCCTCTCACTCGCTCACAGCACAAGCGCAGTCTCCGCAGCAGAGACGCAAGACAACGCAGAGCACAACTTCGCATCACCAACAGAGCCACACGCCGGCGCAACTACCGCAGCTGGCGTTCAGCACTCACACCTGCCACCTCCACCGAGCCGTTTCAGGGTAGGGGCTCCCTGGACCGGCCCCACTCAAAGCCTTTATACGACCTCACCGGCCGCGCTCTCTCACACCGGCGGCTACAGCAGCAGCAACAGCAGCAGCACAGCGACAAGCAGCAGCGCCGCACCCAAACAGCACCATCCGCTGCAGCGACCACCAGAACCCACAGATGCCACAGATTCCGAAGGTTCTTGCAGAACCTCTTCAAGCTCAAGCAAAAGACCCCACAGAACAACAGCACCCCCAACCATCTTCGTACAGATACCAGACCAGCTCCACAAAGCAGAAGGCAGTGGCAAGCCCGACACGACACCCGCCACCGAGAGCCCATTGGTTCAAAACCCACACTGTACAGCCCAGCAAGAAGGGCAGATACAAACACGACCTTCAAACCCCTCCACGGCACCACCTCCGCGGCGCTTTCTGGAACACCACAGGCCTGCTGGAAGCAGCCAAGCTACACACCTTGATACACATTATGCGTAAGCATCGCCTTAGCTGGCTGGCGCTCACAGAGACGCACATGAAGCAGCCTGATCAATTCATGATCGAAGGCTACACCATTACCCACAGCGCCACAGAAGAGTACGACAGCAAAGGCAAGCCCACACAGACTTTCACAGGAGTCTCCCTCATCACAGCCCCACACCTTACACCCACCATCACAGATCTCACCTGCGTCGACGGCAGATTTCTTCGGTTCACCGTCGACACCGTCGAAGCTCCGCTCAGCATCCTGGCGGTTTACGCCCCACACAACCAACGCGAACAGCAATGCCGGGACCAGTTCTGGCAAGCACTCACCACACAGCTCTCCACTCACAGAGAACGCACCCCCCTTCTAGTGGTGGGAGACTTCAACGCACTAGCCTTAGACGAGCTCGCAGCCATCCCTCACGCCACTGGCCCACATTTCGTCCCAGGCAAAACTGCCGAGGAAGACGAGCCAGACGATGCTGCAGAAGGCGACACCAACCAGCGACAGTTCCACGACCTCCTGGCCTCACAGGACTACTGCCTCCCACAGAGCTGGATGCAAAAAGCACCTCGCAATAGACACACCCACAAAAGACCCAACGGCGACCTCGTACAACTCGACCACGCCATTATACACAAAGACTGGCGCAACATCATCCACGACATCCACACTCTTCCCGGCGCAGCACTCAACAGCAACCACTACTTGGTCAAAGTCGAGCTGCAGCTCCGCACCAAAGAGGCCAAACGCACAGCCCCCAAACCACGCCACACCAGAACCCCCACTGCCGCACAGCGGCAAGCCTACAACAACCACATCAAGCAAAACTTGGATGCCATCACCCCTACCACAGACTACTCACAACCACCCCCACAGCTCCCACTCCAATCACAACCACATGAGCAATGGCAGAGCCTCCAGGCGGCGACCAAGGAAGCCATTAGCGACCACATCCCAACCACCGCGTCCTTCCCCAAACACCCCTGGATCTCACAAGCTACTTGGCAGCTCATACAGCAACGTTCCGCCGCACGCCTCGCTCAGAGATTTGATCTTGAGGCCCAACTCCACAAAGACATTAGAAAGCAAGCCCGCAAAGATAAAACCCAGTGGCTAAAGGAGCGACTGGCCGAAAGCGAGGCCACTCTTGACCCTCGCCAAAAATGGAAGTGGATCAAGAGAGTTCGCTCAGACTACAAGCCCAGACCGGTCTCCATTAGAGACTCACAGGGCAAGCCCACCAGCCTCTCACAGCAAGCCCAAACCTTCGCAGAATACCTGCGAACACTGGGCAGCTCCACCTACACCTTACACTGGCCCCACAGACCCAATACACCCGGCAGCAGCAGTGGACCTCTCACCCATCACCACAGCAGAGCTCAACGCAGCACTTAAAGAGCTGGCGCACAACAAAGCAGCAGGCCCCGACAGCATTCCTGCTGAAGCATGGCAGTGGTTAGACGACCATAACCAAGAGGCTCTCTTGCGGGTCCTCAACCAAGCCCTGCTCACAGCCACCATCCCGGATGACTGGCACCATGCTATTGTAGTCGAAATCTACAAAGGCAAAGGTCCCCTCACAGACCCTGCCAGCTACCGCCCCATCTCACTTTTGAACACATCCTACAAACTTTTCGCCAAGATCATTCACACCAGACTCCAAGCAGCCCTGGACGACAGACTCAGGGAAACCCAATACGGGTTTAGGGCGACGCGCTCAACATCCCAGCCTATTCACATCGTCCGCCGTCTCATTGAACGTGCGGAGGCCACAGGACAAACACTTTACACCATCTTTCTCGACTGGGAGAAAGCATTCGACAAGATACACCCGGACGCCCTCCACACAGCGTTGTCACGCTACGGCGTCCCACCACATCTCACAGCCCTCATCAACAACATCTACACCTCACCACAATTCACAGTGGCGGCGGCTGGGAAGCAAAGCACCAGGGAGGAAGCCAGCGCGGGCATTCGTCAAGGATGCCCGCTCTCACCATACCTGTTTCTCATAGTTCACGGTATGGTTATGCACGATGTGGACCGGGAACTTACAGCTCACGGCGGGTCTCTTCCTTGGCTGTACAGCCAAAACCAGCCCTTCTACGACCTCGCTTATGCGGACGACACAGCACTCATCGCAAGCACAGCTCACAGAGCAGAACAGCTGCTCCACATCCTGCAGCGGATTGCGGCTCACAGCAACCTCCACCTGAACCTCAAGAAGTGCGTGTTACTACGCTCCCCCACTTCACAGAACACAGTCCACTTTCACAACGGCGCCCCCCTCACTATTGAGCAGCACGCCAATACCTTGGCGTCACAATTAGCAGCGACGGGTCTTCTCACAAAGACGTTCTCACACGTGTCGCCAAAGCCCGCAAGCACTTTAACTCTCTGCACCAGTTCTGGCGCAACACCGACCTCACACTGAAGTGGAAGTTACGCATTTACAATGCGGTCTTCATTCCGCTCGTAACATACGGGTTGGAATCAGCAGCGCTCACAAAAGGCGATCTCAACAGACTCGAAGCTTTCCACTCACAGAGTCTTCGAAAGATCCTCCACTTCAAAAGCACTTACTACACGGAGGTGCTCAACCCCACAGCCCGCACATACACCAACCAAGAGGTGAGAACACTCACCTCACAGCCTCCACTCACTCACCACATCCACAAAGCACAGCTGAAACTTTTCGGGCACATTCTTCGATCCCATCCGAACAGTATAGAACGGAACTGCTGCTTCACTAGCGCTTTTCAGTACAGAGGTGGTATGGTTGGTGCTGGCCTAAGGCCAGGCAGGAGGAGAGTTCAATGGACAGAACAGTGCACTACA